CACCCTCACCTGGTCTGCTTACCTAGGGATCGTCGGGCAGGACAAAATCCTCTTTTAATGAGCTCTTCTGGGGATCCAGACACAAAGTCGGAGTAATGAATACGAGGGTCCTGTCCAGCGCGGCGTGAGCAAGCAGGAGGGGAACGAGGGAGGTTTGCGTGGCCTTGAACGGGGGGGGGGATGATCATTATGCCTCACGTGTGAGTCTCTTCAGGTACGGCGCCGCTCGTCCAGTACGATCTTTGCAGGCTCTTTTAGGTCCCTCTCTGCAGACAAATCACTGAGGATAAAGTTGGAATGATGACTCTGGGCAGCCAGCTGGAGCTGCCGGTCTGTGCCAGAGAGTCTGCGGGGGATGCTTTCACCGTTTAAGGGCTTGCAGAGGCGGCTGTGGTGAACGGCCCTCCTCTCCCTCGTGGGAATGCTCCCGGTTTTGAGGAACGATGGGATCCGATCGCCCTGCGTGAGTCTGAGAGATGGCTGCCATGTTCCTTCACGATGCTTGTATTTGGCACCCAGGCCCAGCCGGAGGGTGCATACCATTTACCCAAGCTGCAAGTGCCTCGATCCGACGTGTCCCACACCCAAAGACCCCACGCGGGTGAGGGCGACCCCCCTGCATGTCTGCAGCACGGGCCCCACGCCGTGACACACCCTCATGTTCTGACGACATTGGCTGTACTTTGCGGAGCAGACTTTGAAGAGGCATGTGTGTGTATGTATGTGTGCGTTTGTGCGTGTTTGTGTCCGTGTGTGTGTGTCTGTGCGCTTGCATGTGTGTGTGTAGGGGGTGGGTTTAGGGGTGGGTGGGTGTGGGTGGGTGGGTGTAGGGGTGTGTGTGTGTGTAGGGGTGGGTTTAGGGGTGGGTGGGTGTAGGGGTGGGTGTGTGTGTGCGCCACACTGCAGCAGGTCTCCTGTCTGTCACCAGGTGTGAAGCAGCACGGCGGGAAGGCCGGGTTCGCACCGGGGGGGAAGCTGAGACCCGCAGTCCAACACGCCGGTGAAGCCGCTGACGAGCACGACTTCCTGGGCTGTATGTCACGGTGAGCAGGGCCTGTCACTGACGTTCAGGATGCCGGTGGTCTTATCCAGGTTCCTATGCGCAGCAAGGTTACGGCAGTGACTTCCCAAGCCGGTGCGAACGCAAATACAAAGTAAAAAACATAACCGTAGTAAAACTGCTAAAGAAATAAATTATAGAGACAGACTATGACTGCTGATTGTTACTTTTTGTACTTGCACTAATTTTCCTAATTATCTATAATACTAACCTATAATTAGGCAATGCGCCAAATTTCACTAGAACCATTCAGAGCTGTAAGTTACCCCTTAAGCCCCCCATCGCCTCCCAGTACGCCGATCTCACTGAGACGTACCTTCGCAGCTGTCCCACTGTCACCCTGGGTGTTCCTCAGCATGCGTACTTTACCGTACTTGTGTTCTTGTGGTCATCTTCCACTGGCAAAGACCAGTTCCGATACCAAGAACGGAAGTACAGAGGACGGTAAAAATCCCCAGATGACTTTCTTGCCTTCTCCAAAATATCAAGGGTACATCAGTTGCATCCCTAGCAAACAAGACCAATCCCATGATTCATTGCACCCCCCAAGTTCTTTCTTGGGAGTCAGGTTGGCAAGACCGCTCCTGCCAAGAGCACAAGTACGATCTTTGCGCTCTTGGTATAGAAACGCCTCCTGTCTCTGTCCCCTGTTACCTTGTACCATCCCCCTTCCATTTCAGGCGCTCTGGGCTGCCTCGGTGGATACTGGCCAGCTGCATCTTCCTCTCCATCATGGTTATGCTGTGGCTGAGCTGTGCAAGCCTGGTCACTGCACCCGAGCAGCACGTCAAGGCGCAGGTAACCCGGAGAGCTGTGCTGCGTGCTTGACAGTCCCACACCCCCCACACCTAGTATGGTAACTTGGCCCGAAACTAAAGGCAACAGATGCACACCTGCTGGAACGCTGGCAGAATCCCACCGTTTCTTCACTAGGGTCAAGAGAACCTTAGTTCCTCTGCCAGAGCTGCTGTACCCCATAACGTCAGACAGAATCGACTTTACAGTCTTATTGGCTTGAGAGACGCCACGCTATTATGCACATTTTAGGATTTATTGTCCAGTCAGCTGAAACTTTCACATTTACATGCTCTTACAGTTGAGCATCAATGGAGATAAGGACTTCTGGGAGGATGTCCAGAAAGTCGCACCCTACCATGTGACCCCTGTGATTGCTGTGGCCGTCAGCCAATCGGATGCGGGCAAGGAAGTTGGGCCCCTCCCAGTCAAGGTGGACTTGAGCAAGGCCACGATCTGAGAGGTCAGCGCTATTGGCCTTGCTATGACTGTCGCGTGTGTGTATGTGTGTGATATTTCGCACTATTTCTAAATAAATTTCTTGTTTTAACATCAGTGGGCCTGATCAAGCTGTTGTTGTTTTTTTTTTTTTTCTTCATGGCATCATCACCAAGCTCTCTGTTTGATTCACCAGCTTTACGCACATCTTTGTTAGAGGTTAAACCCCAATTCCAGGGATTACATTTGGGAGGAAAAAATAAGCCATGATGATCTCAGGGCTTATTTCACATGTGCATGTCTGTATGTTTTAGAGGAAATCCATGGATTTATAGGGCAGCATCCTGCAGAAATCGCATTTGCCTCTACTTCCACATAATTGGTGGTTGGAAGAGGAAAGGCCTATTAAGGAGCAATTCCACCCAAAAATGCTTCATCCAAAAGAATTCCTGTTATATGTACTTGGCTCGATAACTGGCTTCTCTGACATATTTAAAAGACATTTCTGTGCTTCAGAAGACATTCCTGTTCCTACAGTAGAAGTCATCGGAGAGTAGTATTTTTTTTCAGAATTTTTTTTGTATGTCTCACATCAACATTAATAACATTTACTTGGTAGTTGTTTTTTGTCCAAAACATACAGTCTGGGGTATGAGAGCAGTTTCTGGGAATAACAGCCTCACTCAAGGGCCCAACAGTGATACAATTACTCTGCCGATGGCGGGATTCAACACCACAACCATCTGGACACAGGTCCAACCCTACTACTGCTGAGTTGCACACCACCTCCTATATATTCCTGATTGCCGTCTGTTGGCCTTTTTCAGTTGCTGTGTTTGCGTTACAGGTGCCCCAGTTCTTTAAAATGATTAATTCTTAGTTTCCCGTGAACTGATGCCATCAGAAGATAAAGCAGGGCTGTCCAGCTCCAGGCTCTGTGCACCGCAGGCTCTGCTGGGTTTTGTGCCAGTTATGCTAATTAATTAATATTACCAGATTAACCTTGTCTTTGATTGTGATATCAACTAACTTAATTGCATGATTTAAAAGATGTTTAATGCATTTGTTGAAGCTGTAATTTTTCAATCAAGTTAAACTATGTTTATTGTTTAATAGAAAATGTTTATAGGTGCATTGATTGTTTTGATTCTGGATTCTTTAAGCCAATCAGAATAAATTAACCTTGAACTTAAAATGACTGCATTTATATTAAGTGCTTTAAAATCATTCATGAATTAAAATGATGACCATGGGTTAAATTATTCATCCTGATTTTTAAAATTCAAAAACATTTGTAAGTTTTACCCAAACATGTTCACTTTAACACTGTTTACAACTTACAGCAGGTTTTCACCCGTCCCATAATGTTATGTGTGCGTTTCATTCCGCATAAAAGTACATTATCATTAATAAATGGCATTTTGGGGGAATTTCACCTTCAGGACCTCCTGTCTGGGAGTGCGGCTGTTGTGCTTTATCGTTCATTTCCTCGTTTCCGTTATGGCTTTTGAGTGATGCGGCCCATTCCTTCTGTGTTGACAGAGCATTCCGCTGGACCACGGCTGAGGCGAAAAGTCTTCTGTCATGATTGATTTTCGCACTGAACGGGGGGCTGCATTGGCCGGCTAATGGTGGGTAATGAAAATAAAAAGCTGGCGTCTGTCCTTGAGTACAGTTGCAGAGCCCTGCACGGTGTTACTGGACAGTGTTACTGGACAGTGTTACTGTAACGAAAGTACGACTATGAGCAGCTACTAAGCTTGAACGTAAGCAGTGTATATTTATTTACTTGTTTTTATTTATGTATTTAAAATATAACTAATGCTGAATCCTTTTCATAAAATCATCACAGAAATTTGTCTTAATCTAGTACCCTTCCCAATGCCATTGCCCCTTAGTACTTAACAAAAGTTTAACATTAACTCTGCAAGTAGAATTTACATTATTTAAATTGGAAACAGCATTTGCTTTGGAAACCAATTAACGTTACACAAAAAAATACTTGGTTAGAATAATCCAGCAGGCATTAGAGGACAAGGACTGAAAAATCCCAAGGTAGGTAGATGAAAGAACAAAGTTCTGCAGGGATGCAAGGCCAGCCGGCTGAGGTTTCATCCTGTGCACGCTAACCTTATAGGATTAGGATAATTGTTTAACGTCAGCTGAAAAAGAACTGCAGAATGTTGAAATTAGTGTAAAGTGCTTCAAGTTTGTTTTGCGAAAAATGCACATTTGTAATACTTTATTGTTGTACTGTGTAACTTTTGTTTTTTAGACATAATTAAATTTGCATCATTGCATTTGTTTACATAGAGACAGTGAGACACAACAGACCTTCTCGGCAGAACCCCCCCTCCCCATAACCTTTGTTAATGTCTGGAAAAGGTTCTTCTCTCTGGTTTTCATTTGATGTATTATTTATTCAGTAACAAAAATGCATGTTTTGTATGTTTTAATAGTTTAAATCTGCTCAACATTTCAATGGGGCAGAAAAATACAGTAATTTGTGACTTGTATGTTTCTCCTGTTTAAACATATTGAATCGATAGTATAATAGTCTTTAAAAAAAAACTAAGAAGAAATTTAAAAGCCGTTCAAAATCGATAAAGCCACAATTTTTTATTAACTAAATAACATTGATTTTTGTTGACTGGTTGTTTTCAATAATACGTGTTTCCTAAGATGCTAAAATAAAGATGCATTGCTGTTAGTAGATTTGTTTGTTTGCAGTCTTTTATGTTTGCTTTGACATTTAGAAGCATTTTATGAGTGGTTTCAAATTTAACTATTAAATCTGGAATGATATATTTTTACGTAGACTATTCTGAAGCACTGCTTTGCAAACAAGTGTGCATAAATGTACTTGCCTCTGAGCTTGTCTGGGTGATCTTCAAATTGTAGTCAAGAACATATGATCACAATCCATCAGTCCCAGTGTGGTGTAGAACTTCACGTCGTTTTGCTGTGTTGTTGCATTAGGTGTGTCAAAAAACTTTCCAGAGTTAAACATAAGCTAACTTTAGATGAGTTTATCATTCTGGTGAAGTAATTTATGTTTGATCAAAGCTTTTATCTGCATAGTCTATGTAATTCTACTGTACTTCAAAAGCAGAGCTAGAGGGGGAAACTTCTATAAAAGCCAACATTTCTGAGTAATTGTCTGTAATTAACAATAATATTTTGACTTGCTTACACCTCTGAGGCAACGTTTCATTTTAAGGGAGAAACGGGCAACCTAAACATTTTATATTTCTTTAGCAGATGCTTTTGTTCAACGCAAAGCACAAATAAGGAAAGTCAGGGGTCGGAGTCTCCAGCCCCTCTGAAGCAGTTGACGTTCAGGCCCAACGCTGATGTGATGTTTTGTCAGTCATGGGATTCGAACTCAAAATTCCGGATACGGGCCCGGATCATTAACCTACTGTGCTACATGCAGCCTCGTCATCAGACGGATGTCACAAGTGCACAAATGTCAAACACTGTCTGTTTGTGAGAGGGGTCACTTCTCGTGTTGTTGCTTCGGGGTAACGCTGCAGGTGCTATCTCTCGTGCTGGGATATCGGTAACGGTTGCGTGCAGCATTCCTACAAAGACCGAATCATGAGCTTCACCTCAGACAGAGATTTAAAAAAAAAAAAAACACAACTGATAACTTCACCAGAACAACCATACCCCCCTCCACCCAGCTCGGGGTGGGAAATCAGTAGCTTTGGGGCACTATTTGTGATTAGGATCAACCCCATTGCTGATTGCTGGATAGCACAAAAGGTGTGGAGCGCCGCCCTTCAGGCACAGGAAAGCATCAAGGAGAATGCATAGGCGGGGCTGCGGGGGATGTGTCTGTCGATTTTTTTATTTTTTATTTTCCTACATCCTTGAGGAGATGCATTCTGTCACAGTGCCGAGGGCTGTTTAGCCCTAGTATATTAGCTTTGTTGCAGGCGGGAAAAATGTATGTTATGATGCTGTGAAGGCATGTACACACGTCAGCTGACCCTAAGGTGCCTGTTTAATCGTCCAAAGACAGGCAGGCAGACCGCAACCTGTCATGAACACAGTACAGTTAAACACAACTGTTACAGACAAAATATGACATTCCTGAGATAATGTCAATAGGTCGTTTGTAAAAATGGCAGTAGACCGAAAGCCAAATTAAGTATGACATCTGAACCTCTAATCACCTTGCCACAATTGAAATGTTCTGTTTATTACAGCGTTACTTTGTACCAAGCAGTGACTGCGCAATGCGTGTATGTAGGCCACAGTCCTCGGGCAGAGTGCTCAGGGTTGCCCTGTATTTCTGGGAAATTCTGAAAGTGATTAAATTTATCCATGAAAAAATTAATTCCATAACACAGGAGCTCTGAATTTACTGTCCACTTGCACGAGACCGTGAAACATCATTGTATTTTGTGGTGGAAGACTGACTGGTGTGGCCACAGTTAGCTCCGTTATATTACTCTGAAGCACTACACAAATGCAGAGAAGTGCATTTTATGTATACAGTACTTTGTTGCTCTGCCGTGTATGGAAGAACTTCTGGTCGTTCCACGTGAGGGCGCCAGAGACTCATAAGTAATATGCTTTAAACGTTACCAGAAACAATTTTAAACTGTATAAACATTTTATGTTGTCTGTGTAACTGAAATTTATAATGTTTAATATCTGCCACAAATGACTTATTCTTAAATAACATAAAATGATTCCTTTAATTTGTATTTTAAATTGTAGTCGTGGGGGAAAAAAACGAGTTAATTCAGTGCAATTGTATGATCATGAGTAAGTTTAGAAAAGGATTTTGAATTCCAAACTGGACACTGACGTGACAGTGAACTCACTGACACTTAAACCTGCTGTGTACCTTCTAACCATTTCACAAAACGTTCATGAAGAACTGGCAATTATAATCACAACCACAATAGAGCGCCATGAATTTTAGAATATACTGTAGTACAACAGCAGTTTGCAAACAGCCTGGAAAAGCATTTCTGCTGAATTGACAAACGGGCTCCAGCCATTCTCCCCTGAGCCAGAAAGCAGAAGAGTAAACACAAAACACACAGTAATGCAATAAAGGTAAGTTTACAACGCGGAATTTAACGTTTCGACACTACGTTCCATAATAAATAGAAATTCCTCGGGATTTTTTTTACTTACTACAGTATGTTTAACAAATTAACTAACAAACAACTTTTGGTAATCATTTCGAGGAAAAATAAAATGTGCCATTTTATTAAGGATATGTATAGATAGATAGATAGATAGATAGATAGATAGATAGATAGATAGATACATCTATCTATCTATCTCATTTTAATTTAACAGAGATTCGGCCGTTTTCGACATTTCCTCGACGGTGATTGGCTGGCCGCAGTTTAACCATATGCGCCTGATTATAAAAATATCTTTGTAGCCTGAAAGTGAGACAGAGCCGCGCGTCATCACGCGCGCAGGTGCAGCGTCGACATATCCGCTTTCTTATCGAACTGCGCGCTTATAACGAACGTGTTCATGTTGGGTCGTCGGGGTGCACAGCGAGCAGCGTAAATGGGAGCTGCCTCTTACTCATAGCTGGTGACATTAGCATGGTAAAAGATGATTCACTCGGTGCGAGCTTGACGCAAGAGCACAGCGAGCCCCCAAAAACAAAGTCGGCCTCTTTCATTCACTGCACTTTAAATGCTAGCAGCGATCGTCCCCAAATGTTTACGACCGAGTATGGCTTCCTGTCCTGCTGCTCTTCCAAATGCTACCAACAATGAGTTAAAAAAAAATGATTTAGGTAGCTAAAGTTGGGGAAGAAAATTTAAATAGTGGCAATACGAATCACTTAAATCACTATCTACCTTAAGAACATTAACATTTGCTGGCCCACTTTATCAACATGTCTTCTGTGCTCCATTAAAGGGTGCATGAATATGAAATATGCAGAAAACCTAATGGCACACTCACGACTGGTTTTGATCCTAAACGGCCATTGTCAGGTTAGCTGTAATGTGACTTATACCTGTCCTGACCTAAAAGGATATGTATAGTTAGATTTATTTGCCTTAATTTTAAGCATGTCATATGTAAGCTATCCTGACATCCTCAATTCATTATTTTGTGAAGTTATAACGACCAGTGTGTCAGCTGATTGCATTACAACTGCACACACACAGGGGGCGCTAGATATCCTGTTTTGAGCAGTGCCTTGCTCACTAAAGGCTGGAGCTCCTACCTGGACAGAAGTGGCTCTTACCAGCTTGCAGAGACACACCAGTAACAGCGCACTGGTATCATATCAAGAAAACCCAGTGAGCTGAATTCAGCCTGTAATCCTTCAAAACATTCTGTACCTGTTTATGCTGTGTATGTCAGAAAATAGTGATGCCCCTATGAAATCAGACATACGTGACTCTTGAACAAATGACACAGCAATTCTTGTGGTTTTCACAATATTTAAAAAACAGGATAGCTCCTGTTACACACACACCTACAATTACTGCAAGGAGTCTCAACAGTACTTGTCTAAGAGTAAACCAGTTTTAATATAGAAATAAAAAAAGTTACTCTTGCCAAATTGAGACATGCTAAAATACAAGATTGTGACTCCCCCCCCCCCCAAAAAAAAACTGCTGCAACAGAAGATAAACAAGGATTCAGAACATCTGCATGAAAACGTGGGAGTCCAGAGATGCTGAGGATGCTGTTGGTGGAGTTTCCAGGAGGACGTATGGCAATCCGTTAGTAGGACAAGACTGACGGCTGCCTGAGACCTGGAGTAACACCAACCAGGCAAAATCACTGCAGGAGCAGACCAACAAAGAAGCGTGTTAAACGGATACGTGCTAATTTCTCCCTACTCTCCCTGCAAAGTAAAAGAACACAAAAAACACGCAACTGTTACCTAAAAAAAAATGTTAATCAAAAGCAATGATTTGATGGGTAGCAGTGGTGTTGCACCTCCAGCTTTGTGGGTTTCATTGTGACTGTGTGTGTGGTTTCCCCATCCCCGAGTAGGTTTCCGGTTTAGGTGTCATTGGTATCGCTAAATTGCCTTCTGTGTCTGTCCCCTGTGATAGCGTGACCCCCAGTCCGGGCTGTACCCTGCCTCACTCCTGGAAGCAGCTTCAGGTTCACTATGACCCTGATCACTATTAAATAAATGGTTATGGAAATGGATGTTCTACAAAAAAACATAATTTCCAGAGCAGATTCAGCATTTATCAAATGTGGCAGACTTACAAATACTGTTATAATAAATATAGAACTGACATGTTGGATTAGGTAGAATTTTCCATGTCAGAAATATATACCAAAATAAATTTTTAACACACTACCTTTAACTCGGAATACACTGTCAAACAAAATATATGTATCTTCATTTTGTGTTGTCATGCAGCCCTCTTTGACCATTTCTTTAGACAGTTTTGCCTGTCTTCCCTTTATCGATTAATCATGTCTAATATCATCATTACATTTGTGTTTGCCTATTATTTAATTATCGTTTTAGTTCAGCGCGCTCTGGGATAAGGAAAGACGAATGTAAATACTACACTTTTGGATCTCTTCTTAATGCTTAAGGGCTCAATGCAAACAAGTTATCATCTATTATTCTGGCAGACTTTTGTCCAAATCAACCTGTGCGTCCGCATAGCGATGCTCTTCGTGGCTTCATTATTTGATTAAAATGGATGAAAGCCTGAACCTTGGAGTATTTTATACAAGCAC